TACATATAATTCCCCAGACACACCAGTCATAACCTTTTCCCACTTGCATTTACAAATAAGCGTCTTTTCAGCTGCTGCATAGTTCTTCATCTACTGTAGATGATAGAGAGGCAATTCTTCCATGAGTATTTCCCTTCTGTACTAAGTAGGGTGACGTTACCCATGAAAAAATTTCTAGCAAAATCCCCGTCGGAAGTTACACGGTGATGAAATTTCAATCAAACTGCTACCTGTTTGGTGATTTCTGCTTCTGTGTAGTCGCGTTTTCCAGGCTTCAAGCCAACTGCGTAGTTCACGCGTTGTGCCTCTGTCTGTCGACAGTTCATCCGTTTCCACAGGCCTACTCACTTCGCTCCACAAATTTTGTTCCAATTCTTGCATGTTCAACTGAGACTTAACTTTCCACTGCGACTTTCGCCTTACCCTGAAAAAGTTTTATTCAAGAAATTTTAAAGATTACTGTAAAAAACAGAAGTGGTAGAATTTTCAGATTAAACAAAACAAGTGGAGTTTGGCTTACTTCTTCCAACAATACTTTTTCCATAAAAAAGGTAAATTTAGCATAATCAGCTGAGGTGTTGTTTTTCGAAAAAGGCCCATCTCTGAACAAGACTGGCAGCTACGAAGATATTTTGTGATCCACACAATTACAGTGAAATTACGGTGATAATAATGAAACAAAAAGAGTACCTTTTTTTGTTTTTATTGCCAGTGGCTGGAATACTAGCAGCGCATGGTTCAGCGTTTTTGTGTCCAGCCATTTCTTTTTCCGATACGATCTTTCGGAATGAAAATGCAGCATATGAAGCTGCATCTGGCGTAACGCATGGACGTTCTTTAAATGGTAACTCATAATGAACTGGTGCAATTTGGGCGTAGCCAACGTTCGAAATGCTTGGAAATGGAGCACAATCCACAATGCTTTCCTCGGCCAAAACTGCAAATGTCGAAGAAATAATGTTTGGACAGTCGCAAAGTAGAAAATATTGGTCTTCAGAGAAGAAAAAACTTTCAAAAAAAAAAAAAAACTTTCGAAAAAACCGTCAAAAAACCCCCCACGGGAGCAATCGCAGTTGTTAATATCTCAAGCAGTAACACACCACCACCAACAACAACCACAACACAATGGCATGATTGTCAGCGCCGGAACAGTATTTACTACTTTCTTCTGACGTTCACTTTCTGATAATTAAATATGCCAGATTTTACGATTCCCCCGGTATATTTCAGTACCAACTACAAACAGTGCCTTTCCGTTAAGGAAAAAGAATCATCCAATCTTTAACACTGCAATAAGTGCGCCGGCAATACCATCTATACCAACAGATGTGAATGCCCAACAAACTGCCTGTATTTCATCCCAATTTGCTGTAAAAACGATGCTTATAAACTGAATTGAACCAGAAAAAAGAGAAATTCCAAGATAAAAGGGCTCACAATAAAAAGGGCTTTCAAGACAAAAAGGCCCCAAAAAACACCTTGAAAACGCCGAAATTTGTAAAGTTTTTATCGCAGTAACAAGAAATGATGGTTAAGTTACAGCAAAAATGCCCTCACCACGCCTCTTTTTGCGACCAGGCTCAAACTCGCATTCTTGGCCATTTGAATCTTGCAAAGCTTTCGTCTTTGCCTCAGGTGGCGCAGAT